CCACTCATAGGCCCCAGCTCCACCAGCCTCTGAATCTGCACAGCACCCTCAGGAGAGCTTGCTGCCCTCCCCTGCCTTGTTCATGCTCGGTCCTCCCTCCCGGGATCTCACCATGTCTCCATAGCAGAAGGCAAGGAGCAGGGAAAGGGAGGGGTGCAAGCAAGGAGAAGGGCTAGCAAATGTTTGCAGAGCAACTTTGCCAAGTAACACTCACCGCAGCAAGCTAGAGGAGAAAGGAGAGAAAGAGAGAACGTTAAAACGCTTGACACAAGGGTTTTTCACATACTAATGCAGACTGCAGGTTTGTGTTTCTGCAAACCCAAAGACATCTGGTCTGGACAGTTCAAGGTCATGGAGGTTTCCCTCCCATTTGAAATATCCAGATCTCTCTCCTGTTTCAGATTGTGATTCCCCGACCTAGAGCACTACATGCAGCAGAGCTCTGTTTCTGCACATGCTGATGCATTCTTATTTAAATAAAAATAAAAGCTAATCCTGGAGGGATTAAGTAAATCACCAGAGTATGGAGCTCAAACTCAGTTCCCTAAGTACCCTGCGTCCTTCCAGCACTTCGTTACTGGCCGTGAGCCAGAAACCCTTTGCCGCACATGTGTACTGCTGCTCCCTATGGCAGCACACCCCAGAACAGACCTCCCTTTCCCAAGAGGGAAAGTCAGGCCCTGCTACTTAAGAAAAAAAGCATTGTAAAATGGTGCACACAAAGATTTTGCACAACTTTGAACGACTCCCTGAAGAGTAATTGTGTATGTACAGAGCCACAGCCACAGCAAACCAGTCTGCAGTGTGCACAAGTGAAACAGTTGCACAACCTACTCTAGAGATTGAGCTGGAGGTCCCTGGGTCAAAAGAAGGGACGGCAACGCACAAAAGATTTGCCTCTTTTGGGTTGCTGTCCTAGCTGCAGGGCGGACCTCCCACCTCTCCCCCAGCTCATTGACTTAATTGTCACACGTGGAAGGGGAGGGATGCCCATGGCATCCCTCTGCATGCTGCCTGGGGATGGCCCTGCTCGCCGGGGGCCAGAGAAAAAGCAGCTACCTCCTCTCAGCAAGGAGTGGAGCAGGGCAGGAGGAGTGGTACAGGGATACTCACAGCACATCTTCATGATGATGTCCAAGATTTCACATTCCTGAAAACAGAGGTAAAGAAATGTTTGAATAACAGTGAAGGCAGCTTCCTGGCTCCCAGGTGCTGCCCACCACCCTCTGCTGCTGCTTTGTGCCCTCAAAGCAGGTCCTGATCTGTAAATGAGCGACGTGCAGGTGGCGCACACTACAGGGGGGACTGGCTGGTCATGGACTGGTATGAAGGAAATCTGGCCAGTGAGACTCACTGGCACAGTAATGGGGGGCAGCCACCACCCAGCCCAGGAGCATGAGGCTCCCCCAGCAGTGACCCCCTCCCAGGAGCCATCATGAGGGGTAGGAGAAGCACAGACCAAGCAAGCAAGCAAACAGCGCCCCGATCCTGTCCCACTCACATCTGGTCCCGGAGGCCCCACAGGTCCTGGTGGTCCCTGTCAAACAGAAGCGTGGAGAGAGCAGTTACAAGAGCAGCCAATTCTATCTGCGGCATACTCTGCTGATACCTTGCTGAGTAATGCAGAGTCTGGAAAAATCTCTTGGCTTCCCAGTTGCTGGCCCTTGCACTGGGCTTTGAGCAGGTACATCTGCTTGCTTGCACAATGCCCTGGGGCTGCATGGGGGTGGGGGGAGGGAGACCCACTTCCATGCGTGCCATGCCCACCGAGGTGGGAAGGCAAGCTCTTGCTGCAGGCAGCGAGCACACACGCTGTGTGTGACATGGCTCGGCATTGCCCCCACAGCACCCAGGGGATGGACGGATGGATGCCATTTGCTTGGAAGATGCCTCTCCTGTAGCCTCCAGGCCAACATGAGGCAATGCAAGCAAGTGGCGACTCAACACTAACTGAAACACTTTCAGGCTCAGGATGGCCACTCTGAAAGGCTGCTTGCCCTTACCAAACCTGATCATATGAGAATGCTTTGCTCATGAAAAAGCACAAGTGCCTGTATTTTCTGCACTGATTTGGGATGAACATGATTTCAGAGACCTGTGTACCAGGCTGCAGCAGCAAGTTTTCAAACTGCCTTGCTCCTGCTGTGAGCTGGGCCAAGCACAGCAAATCTGCAGCGAGCCCTGCTGTTGGGAGCTCCGTCAGCCCGGCACGCTGTGCTCATCGGTGCAAACCCTGCCGGGGTCCTTACTTACTGGGAGGCCTTCAGGTCCCCTGTGGCCCTTTGCTCCTTTGATGCCCCTGGGGCCAGGGGTTGGGTTCTGGAATGAAAACAAAACCAAAATCCACAAATCTATGTGTGTCAGGGTGCAGCACCTTCCCCTCCAGATGTATTCTGAGCCCTGCTTAACCACAAAAATGTTATCTGAGATTGCTGTACCCAACCAAACAAGTTAGGACTTGGGAGGGTTGGAATGGACACTCGGAAACCCTCCCTCCACAGCACAGTGGTGCAGCACAGGTGCAACCATTGGTGCTATCTGGAAGCATACAAAACCTTGCAGAGATGATACCCACCTCAACCTAACAGATCTGGAGGTTTGCCAACCATAAGCTGTAGGATACAAAATGAACATCTGGAGAGAGCTCCCCTTGCTATCAGACACTGCTCAGTGGCAAAGGGTGCTTGCAGACTAACAAAGTCTGATGGGCTCTGACCCACAGGCAAGGTAGTGTTAGAGACCCAGCCCAAAGCTTCTGCACCGTGTTCACAGAGAAAGATGATTCAGCTTTATACAGATTACTCACATCATTGCCAGGGTCTCCAGCTTCTCCTTCATCACCTTTAGGACCAACATAGCCTTTCGTTCCCTGAAAAATAGTACAGAAGAGACTCCTGCATGGACTGCTGTCGTTAGCCTGGTGAAGTTGGTGCTAGCATGCAGTGACCTTGTGAGAGGTGTCTCGGGAGGGGGGCGAAGAGCAGTGTATAGGCTCCCTAGCACCAAATTGCAGTGCTATTGAGGGAGAGAGCTTCTTAGGTGGCTTTCACTGTTATAATACCATCCAGGTCCCCCTGGGTGGCACTCCCAACCCCAAAGTCTGGCTCCGGGGCTGCACTGGAGAGCACTCAGCCCAGGCTGCTGTCCTTACTACCAGTGCACCAAGGCAGGACACCTCCACCAGAAGCATCCACTGTAGGGAGAGGTGGGCAGAAGGAAAAGAGGGCTTTGAAGGAGAAGGCTGCTTCAGGGAGCCCATTTCACCATGCAGCTGATGGAGAGGCTCTAGGAGCCAAACAACTGGCCAGGGCAATTTCTGTTGGGTGCATGAGGAAGCAGCACACTTACGTTAATGCCAGGGTCACCTCTGTCTCCTGGCTGCCCCTGGGGATGAAGGAAAGGAAGCATGTTAGGTCAGAGAAGCAGAAATAGTGGTCTTACAGTTTCAAAGCAGCACAAAAAACTTACTGGGGCGCCTGTGAATCCAATTGTGCCGTTCCCAGGAGGGCCATCCTCCCCCTAGAAAGGAAGGGAGAAATATGTGAGATAATAAAAAGCAGACGCCTTAGATAACACGGCAGCAGGATCCTGCCCTCCTTGGACAGTTTATCTCCACAGCAAAATGTCGTTGCAAAAAATATGTGACTGGTGGGTTGGACGCTGGTGCAGGCAGGTAAAAAGGCCATCTTACTTGTGTGTGATCTGCACAGCCACTGACAGGAGGGTGACATGGTCCCTCTCAGAGACTGGGGATATGGCCACAGGCTGGGAACAGACTGGGAAGTATCAGGTCTCTGTTGCTGGAAAGTACATGCCAAAATATGGCTCTTTGAGCCTGCAGATGTGATGCATATTCAAAAGCAGGCTGCTTGCAAATTTTACCAGCATCTCAGCTGTGAATGAATGTAATTTCTTTTCTCCCTGAGTTGGATCATGCTGTGTGGAACCAGCCTGTTGTACAACTTTTCGACATGGCATGCAATTCCCCCAAATAAATACCACTCACCCTTTCTCCCATCAGACCAGGGTCTCCAGGTAGCCCAGGTGCTCCAGGCAATCCCTTTGGGCCCTGGAAGGAGCAGAAGAAGCAGTCAAGCATCGCACACCATCCTTTGAGCTGGGAAGATGATGCCTTCTGAGGCAACCAGCTACCATCACGAGCCCATCACGGATGGTGTTTTGCTTATACAAAAGCAATGCAAAGCCCACAGCTGGGCTTGGGATTCAGCTTGTTCCCTGCCCTGGGGATCAAATCTGTTGGCAGATTCAGGTGGCTGTCCTCAGAGACCAGCTCCCCCAGCTTCCGTGATGGGAATCCACGTGGCTTGTGGTGTGGCTATACCCTCTCCATGAAATGGCATCTGGAGGCAGCCATGACCTTAAGGACCCATGAAAAATGCCTCGATGTGTCTGCCAGGCAGCTAGCACCTGAGTTTGTACCTACAACAGGTTTCCAAGATCTGAGGGATTTGGGGACAGCCCTAAGGGGCAGCATCTCCTGGTCTTCCCTTCATTCCCTCCCCCAGAAGATGCGGTGATAAAGCAGCACTGACCTCATTGCCGCGGGGGCCATCGTCTCCCCTGTAGCCCTTGGGTCCCGGGGGTCCAACCTCGCCCTAGGGAAATACAAAAAGCTCTCACAACAGGGATTTTCTCTTGGTGCTGCTCCTGCCCTGAAGGGCTGGTCCCTTCATTTCGTGATGTGGTGGGTGGGGGCATCTGCCTCGTGCCTCGCACCCATCAGCGAGTCACCTCCACCTCGGCCAGCCTCACAAGAAAGGACCTATTGACAGGGGTTAACGCAGGTGGGGAGATGCTTCAGGAGCTGTGCCTGGCTCCCCCCAAGCCCCCCTGCCTTCCCAGGCTGCAGCTCCCCATGCTCCCTTACGCCCTGCTTTCTCTGCAAGGCCCTGTTGGAGGCAACCCTGGCCAGATCCCTGCTGAGCATGAGCCAAAAAAAGAAGCTTTCTGGGCCAAGGTGTGACACTGCAGGCATGGGTTGAACACCATGTGCTTTCAGTGGCAGCCAGGCTGCGGGAGGGAGCAGCCTCTGAGCAGAGCCTCCAAGGCCCTAAAAGCCATCCCTCTCCTTCACACCTCAGTCCAGTAACAGAGGACCTGGTGGGGAAGAGGACCAGGGAGGCAGGGATGACGCTTTCTAGCGGCAAAGCACAGCTGGGTTGCACAGTGGCATCACATCTGCTGCGATAGAGGTACCCCTGGGGCAGAGAACGGTCCTTGGTGGAGCACATCACCCTGAAGGTGACACAGACCTCCCTCCACAGAGGACCTCCCCATGCATTGGGGCTCGGACACGTCTGGGTCGAAGCTGGGCTGGCCGAGGCCCTTTCGTGGCTTTGGGGAGTTTCTGTCCTCAGGAGGCTGCAGAGCCCTGGCAGCATGTGCTAGAATGGACCAAAGCTGTCACTCTGCCACATCCCATCTGGGCAGCGGCTGCTTGCTCCGTCAGCTGCAGGGCTGGCCAGAGACAGCCAGAGGAGGTGGGAGGAGATTTTTTTCTCTGAGAGCTCCAACAGATGTCCAAGGGAGCCCCTCCACCTTCTGCTCAACAGACCTTCATGGGGTTTACTTGCCAGGAGATTGGTAATGATGGTGGGTAACGATTGGGTAATGATGTTTGAGCAAGGCAGCATCTCAGGTGGAGCCAGGTGTGCAGCCAGTCCCCAGGCGATGGAGATGACAGAGGTAGGCAGAGGGAAGGCAGAGAGCAAGCCGTGGTGGGAGAGAGCGATGGCTCGGCAATTGGCCCCTCCAGCATCACTGCTGCAGGCAGTGGGCATGCCAGTTCCAGACTCCCAACCTCTGAAATGTTTCCTGTGACAAACCACACGACTGCAGTCTCCGCGCAGGCAGAAGGCAGCACTCGCTCAACGGTACCTGGGCTTCAGCATCGCAGTGGTGCATGCCCCAGAGCTTCCTCCGTATTTTCAGTGCATCAGCAGCACCTCTGAGCTTTTTGGGAGCTGCCTCAGTGTGGTGGCTCAGCCTAGCCCAGCTTTGCAACCACTCTCTCACCCCCTGAAAGCTGAGGGGGTGAGATCCCCTCAGCTGTCGTCTCTGCTCCTCTTCGCACGACAGTGGCTGGGAGAAGCTGGTGCCAAACATCCACGTACGCCACAGGCACCCTTCTTCCAAGAAAGGTATACCTCAGGGTGCAGAGGACTTAAAATTACAGAGTGTAGTGCAGAGCACTAAACTGCTCAAAGGCATGTGACCTTATTTCTGCACAAAAGCCCAGAAGAGAGAAAGCCGGGAAGGAGGGACAGGAACTCATGATCATTCGCATCAGCCAAAGCACGGCATCCTTGGCTCACGCTGGCCGTACATGTCCTCACTGTAGTATACCGCACAAATCCCCCGTGGCCCTGGAGGAGTTTATAAAGATGCAGGATTTGGGGTCGGGAAATGTCTACTACCTTTCTGGGTGTGACAAGAACTGCAGGAGGGATGGGCACCATGGCCAGGAAGAGAGAGGGACTACCAAACCTGCCCATGAGGATCAGGGAAAGACCGTGCTGACGCTGACCTTTAGCTTCTCTTGGATAGAAAGAGGATGAAAGGGAGTCACAGGTTAGCAGGAGCCCTTTCCCCTTGCCAAGAGAAATATGCTGTAAGAGCCAGAGCTTGCAGATAACACGGCTTAAAAAACACTTGTGTGTGCCAAAGTCCTACTCTTGCCCAAGCCCAATTACGCATTTATTTTTAATTTGGCCAAGCAAAAGCATTCTTCCTTAGCTTATGGAAAATACATCCTCACTTTGCAACTGCTTTTGAAATCTTCCTGGAGTGGTGGAGGCGCTGGGACAGTCTCTGGTCTGGGGAGACATCGGAGCTGCTTCTGTAATGCTTCCCTCTCTGACGGAGGTTTGACTCATGTTCAGTGTTGGGGAGGAAAAACTGGTGTCCCACAGGCTCAGTGACAGCAGGGAGATCGTTCTTTCTCCTTTCTCCTCCTCCCCACCAGTGAAGGCTATCTGGCAGCGGGATCTATCCCAGCCTGGCTCCCCACCATGCTTGCACATCTTCGGCTCCCAGGCTTGCATCAAATCTCCACCTTAACTCTGTCTTCTTCTGTGCAGTCCTTCTTCTGCCTTGAACCTGGAATGAGCCTCTGCCACATGGAGAGCAGCTCCAGTCCTTCCTCCTTTGCTGGTGTCAGCCTGCAGCACTGGTCCATTAGATGCACACATCCAAAGAGCTGCCTTCCTACCAGGGCCACCTCCCAAAATGACACCTCTCATCACGGCAGTGCCCAACAAGCTGGATGCTGCTCTTTGGTTGTGGCAGGAGATCAGCTCAGCTACAGACAGTAGGATCTGGACAATCCTCCTGCATGAATTTGGTGCTCTTCACTAGCATGAGACAGGCTCAAGAGAAGCCCAACTTCAGGCAAGCACAACCCTGGCACAAGTATGTCCTCTCCCCAGGCTGCGGCACGGTGCAGGTCTGACGTGGGGGTCACCCATGCTGGGGATGATGTGAATGCAACAGTGGCCCCTTCATGGCTGTCCTGCACTCCAGATCTCCTTCAGGGCTCTTGAACACTTGGTCAACCATAAAGGAATTCAAAAGCTGTCTCATCTTTGGATGCTCATCTTGTCCACATGCTGGTCTCCATACTGCACCCCTTGTGGAAGTCCTGCTCCACCAGTGTGGGAACGTTTATCTCAATACTTCCCTGTATCTTGGGCTCCGTCAAAACTCTGATGGTATGGGTAGGAGGGGAGTTGTCCCACAGAACCCCGTCCAAGGGTGATGTCAAAGCATGCTTGCTCAGGTGCAAAGACCCTGTTGGCCATTGCAATCAATGCTATAGCCATAGAGGATCAACCCAGCAACATCTCCAGACCCAGAGTTATCGACTGGGAGCTGGGTACATCTTTGGGAAGAAAGAGCCTTTAATTGAGCAGGGGACAGAAGCCTTCCTCAGGCTGGAGGTAACCAGCTCTGCTCTCCAGAAAGACCGTGGGGTCTGAGATCTGTTCCTTGAGACATATGAGGACAAGCAGACCCCAGAGCAGGAGGGCCAGATCTTGCAAGCAAGCGGACTTGAGGAACGCTGGCTTTGAGACAGACTGTCTCTGCAGATGCCAAGGGTGTCAGGGACACTGCTGGGGCCCTGTCAAGCTATCCTCACTGACACAAGATGTCTCATTGACTCCCTTGACTGAGGTGAACAGCGTCTGGCCCCAGGCCTGAACATTCTGTGCGTTGCTGCAGCTTGCACTTGCCAGTTTCCAGATCTGTCAGACATGTTGACATCTGTTTTCATGGGATTGGGAAATGGCGTGGAGGTTGCTCTGTCCCCTGCCCAGCAGCCAAGTCTCCATTTTTTTAGCTTTGTTCATAGTCTATGTTCTCCTAGAAATCCCTGCCCCTCTTCACCAGCTTTGCTACTCGGTCTGGAAGATGCTGAGAACTTGCCCCAAGATGCTGTGGCATCAGTTAAGCCCCCTACCCTAGTCTTCCTGCTGCCCCAACCACTTCCACCTGGGATCCAGAAGGTTAATCCAAGCACTTACCTGGTCGCCAGGTGGTCCGAGGGGTCCTTCCCGCCCTTGGTCACCAGGTGGTCCAGGCTCTCCCTGAAAATGCACACAGAGGGCATAAGAAACTCAAAGAGGGACCGGTGTAGGGTGCAAAGGGCTCCACGTGCAATGGGGAGCAGGGATAAAGCACTGATAGCACATGCTGGATAGAAATGCAGTCATCCAAACAGGGAGATTTTCAAGGCAGATTCAGGAGTTGGATCAGAAACTATCAGAGGTGTGGGGAGAGAAAGACGGGCTAGCATGGCCACCTTGAAGCTGAGAAGATAGACCTAAAAGGAAACCTTCGGAAGGATGGAAGTGCTTGACTCTGGGTGACATGTTTCAGCCCATTTTGTGCCAGAAAAGCAAATGCCTGGAGACATCAATCTTGCAAGGTTTCTGCAAATACACAGACCTGGCCCTGGCCCCAAGACCATGTAGTGGCTTTTCCCAGCCACATTCTACAATCATGGCTGCTTTTCTAGAGCAGCTTCTGCCCTGGGCAGTCTGCATAGAGAGGAGCTGCTGTCCCCATGCATAGAGACTCCAGGCTAGCAGCCTCCTTCCTCCACCCCCTCTTCCTCCAGCCTGCCATCCCTGCAGAGCTAAGGGGATTTCCAAGGGAATGAGCCAGCAGATGGGGATGGCTGGCCTCACCTCCCACTGCTGATGCTCTCCCCTCTCCTTTGCTAACACTCAGCACCCTGAGCCGCGTTAGGGCTGTTTGCAGAGAACTGACAGCCCAGGAAAGCCTGGAAAACTTGAGCCTGGGTGGTTTTGCACCCAAACAGCTCCAATAGTAGGAAATACCCAAGGGCTGGACACAGCTCAGTTCCACTTTCACTTAACCAATGTGGAAAGGGACAGCCTTCCACCAGAGCTGCATCCCAACAGAGCAGTGTGTCTGCCAGACCCGGGCTGGATCCGGGGCACCTTCCCTATGTAGACCCATGGCCAGGAGCGAGCAAGCCAGGGAGGCAAAAAAAGAGCCAGGAGGCACAGCCCTCATCCCTGCAGCCCAAGTGCTTGCTGCAAGTTCCTGGCAATTCAGAAGAAAGCTTTCTCGCCTGCAAAGTGGAGTGTTACCCCTTACAGGGCTGCACAACAGCTAAGCACAGAGTTTTGCATCTTACAGCCAAGCCAACCCAGAGATCAGCCAGCACCAAGTGCTACAAGATGAGTATCTTTGCATGAGGTGCTGCTCTGCCTGCAGCCCTGGGACGTGCGGCCAGGCAGCCCCCAGCCCGCGGGGAAGGGAGGCGTTCAGAAACTTCCCATGACAGTCACACCTGACTTAAAACTTTGAGGAAAGCGGCTGAAAGCTTGGCAACCTAAAGCTGTTGTTTGCAAGCTAGAAGCTTCCAGATGCCTAAGCCAAACAGTAAATATAAAACACAACTTCCAAAGGGCCTTGAGCACCGATGGAGACGTTTCTGGCGAGGTTACACAGCCTCGTGCTTGGACTAAAACTTGGAAGGAAGCAGCCCCTCGTCTGCTGAACAATTTAACTTCAGGACACTGGCGTGCCTTCATCTCCCGCGCACATCTGCCCTGCACACCA